TAACATCTGTGCCTATCTTCCTCCACTTTACATGGGACGCCGCCACAGCATGGCCTGAGAAGCGGTGCCTTGGTGCGCGCCCGGGATCCGAACCGGGTCCGCCAGCAGCGGAGCACGTGCAATTAACTGCTATGCCATGGGGCCGACCCCTGTAGAGGCTTTTTTTTACTGTCAAAATCATTCTGGTATTACTGTTGATCCTAGGAATTTTAATGCTTGAGTTGTTAAAAGTGCAGAGATCTCCTCTTTGTACCCCAGTCACCTCCTGGAATAGTGTTCGATGAAGCTAGTGCTCAAGGAATGTTTGAGGAGAGAATGAATGATCTGTTTGTTTAATCCTGTAGTGGTATGATGTTGTTCATTGGAAGGAAATTGTTCATTTATTGTGGTAATGTATTTTACGCCAAGCATGGAGAAGGACTTGATGCCGTGTTCTGTGTCCTGCCCCAAGCCAGTTGCTGTGGAAATTGACAAATATGTCAGTGTCAAAGATTTAAGTCTTCTTTTAAGGACTGAATAGAGCCAAGATGTACATATGTCATATACATATATGTTGTATACATGTATATGTCATATATATACCATATACTTACACTCATATTTGCCAATATGCATATCATGTATGTTTCATATAAGACAACATCTGATCAAGTGCTAGTCTTCATGGTATATACTAGATTGTGATAGCTTTGGACTATGGTTTCTCAGTCTCTGCACTATTGACATGTGACTTCATACTGGGCCTGATAATTCTTTGTTGTGGGGGACTGCCCTGTGCATTGTAGGGTGTTTACCAGCATCCCTGGCCTCTACCCACTAGCTGCCAGTAGTCTCCTATCCCTACCCCCAGTGACAACCAAAAATGTCTCTAGACATTTCAGATGCCCCATGGGGACAGAATTGCCCTCAGCTGAGAATCGCTGAGATAGATGGAGTTGAAAGACTTGGATGCAGGCCTGGCTCAGCTGCTAAGTGGCTGTTGGACATGAGACAAGTTGGCCTTTCTTGACTTGAAAACATTTCTGTAAAACAAAGATATGGAATGAGATGACTCCTGAGGTTCCTCCAGCTTTAATGTTTTATGCTGAAGGAAGTATAATAAACATTTTTATTGATCAGGCTGCTATATTCAACCTAAAGTGGTCAGAATGGATAAAGAAGATGTGGTGTATATATATAATGGAATACTACTCAGCCATAAAAAAAGACAAAATCGTGCCATTTGTGACAACATGGATGGACCTTGAGGGTATTATGCTAAGCGAAATAAGTCAGAGAAAGACAAACACTGTATGATTTCACTTGTATGTGGAAGATAAACAAACACATGGATAAAGAGAACAGATCAGTGGTTACCAGAGGAGAGGGGGTGGGGGGAGGGTGAAAGGGGTAAAGGGGCACATATGTATTGTAATGGATAAAAACTGGACTGCTGATGGTGGACACGATGCAGTCTATACAGAAACTGAAATATAATAATGTACACCTGAAATTTACACAATATCATAAGCCAATATGACCTCAATAAAACAATTAAAATTTTTAAAAAAGTAGTAATCAGGCATTCGTTTCCTTCTTTACTGTCACCCACAGTCCTGACAACTCTTCTCTCCTTTTCTCCCCCTGTCACAATGCATTTCCAGATTTGCCCGACTTGCTGCAACCACGTTTATCAGTCAGGGGATTCCTGTGTACCTCTTTTCTGATATAACCCCAACCCCCTTTGTGGTAAGTAACCATTTCCTTTTATAATTTGCTGTCACGCGATCAGGGATGGGACATGGCTGAATTTTCCAGTCTTGAGTGCTGTTGGGATCGGGTATTTGAATGACAGAAGAGCTCCTTGGCATTTATTGGGCATTCTCTCTCCTTTCCAGAATTGTTTCTCTCACCTCCTACTCATATTTCTTTGGTATTCAACTTTAGATTCATCAGAATTGATTATTTTTAAGTGCACTTTTCCTTTCGCTTGCATTTGAAGGAAACTTTAGCTAGTTAGCAAAATGTCTTTTGGTTTTTCATTTGGTTTGTAGCTCTTTTTCCCAGCTGTCACAATTAGGAAACTTCTTGGGTCTAAATCTGAACTCACCTCAAACCATGTCAATCATGAATATTTTTGACAAGTTGGAGCACCAGCTTTTTATACAGGTGTTTCGTTCTAAATACTATTCATGACCAGTACAAGAAGGGTGCTTGGCATGTTTTGGTAAGATTTTTATCAAGTCCTTTATGTAGCAGAATCTAAAGAAAAGGACGGTAGAGACTGTGACAGCTGTTGCTTTGAAATAGATAGAACTTTTAAGAGTGAGGCCAGATGCTAAGAATATATGTGTTTAGAAATTAAGCCAAAAACGTGATTCGAACGCAGTTGCTTGCATCACATAGAAGTGAGAGTGTGTGGATACAGGAGGGGAAGCACCTCTGGCTTTGTGTTTACGTCTCTGGTGCTCTGACAGGTAGCTGCAACGCCTCCTAGACTGTAAATAACTCAGTAGGCACTCAAAGTCACATCCAAATGTAGTTCAGCTTTCATTGTTTGGTGGAAAAATTGCAATGAGTTCAAGCTTCCATGGTTTTCTCTACTATATAGATGACACCAGCTGTTATTTTTATATCAGACTTGAACTAAATGAGCGTCCCATGATCATTTTCGCACACCGTGGAGTGCTTCTCCCCTTGTCTTTGCTCCAGGACACCTGAGGGACGTGAGATGACTCCTAAGGGGAAAAATGACCACAGTGATTCTTGGCTTGAGGGTGGATGGGGACAGAATCTCAGGTTGCCCATGCAGGGTAAATTTCATATGCAGCCGTATGCGGGATAGGCCTACCCTCTCCCCATTTTGAGAAGCAGTCTTGTAAAGATGGGAGCTAAGGAGAAATACAAGAGAGGGATATTGATCCTCGAGTGGGAGATGAATGAGCAAGCTGTAAGAGCACTCTCCATTTCTTCAACATTTCCCTCAACCTTCTTGAAAACAAATAAGGAGAAAGAGGAGGAAAAAAGGAAGCAGTGGGAGGGAATAAACGGAATCCGTAGGGTCGTGTCCCAAGCAGAGGCTGCAAAGAATGTGAAGTGGAGGATTAGACCATCTCTTAGTTTGGAGACTTTTCTAGCTCTACCAAGTAGAAGGCCAGAATGAGAAGAAGGCACCTCAGAAAATACTCACCTTTCTTATTAAGGAACACATCCCAGAAATTTGACCAGTGAGTGAGTTTTAAGGGTAATCAGAGTATACTGGTTGGGTATGGCACAAAAATATTGAGTGACACATTATGCTAATTCTATATTAGGTTTATCAAAAGAGAACAAGTTGGTACAAACAATATACAACAGACATTTTAAGTATGTCTAATTTTTTGTTTAAAACTGTTCTTGTTTCCTGCTATGTTACAGCCGTATACAGTGTCGCATTTGAAACTTTGTGCTGGAATCATGGTAACCGCCTCTCACAATCCGAAGGAGGATAATGGTTATAAGGTACTTTTGTTTTTCAGTCCACATATATGTCCTTCTGTAGAATCCTGCGCCTTGACTGGTTGGGAGCATAGGGAACGGATGCTTTTCCATTAACCCTAAAGCTTCTGGATATGTTCCCGCGTTCTCCAGGTCTATTGGGATAACGGAGCTCAAATCATCTCTCCTCATGATAGAGAGATTTCTCAAGCTATTGAAGAAAATCTAGAGCCATGGTCTCAAGCTTGGGATGATTCTTTAATTAATGGCAGTCCACTTCTTCACGACCCAAGTGCTTCCATCAATAAGGACTACTTCGAAGACCTTAAAAAATACTGTTTTCACAGGTAAATGGATTGTAAACTCACTCCAGGTGAGTTAAATTAACCTGATTCAGCCAGATTCTATCAGTTTTCATTAAATGTTTCTCTTCAATTGGTACGTATACTGTAGCTGCATCTGATTTTGGAGGCTGTGGATCAGATTTTGGCGACTTTTTTTAAAAGGACAGATAATAAATATTTTTGGCTTTGTGAGCTGTACAAAATACTTCTCAATTACCCAACTCTGCTGTAGTAGGAAAGCAGCCATAGATGATACGGAAATGAATGAGCACAAACGTAGCTGTGTTCAAAAAAAGTTTTCTTTACAAAAGCAAGTGGCTGGCCCACAGGCCATAGTTTGCTGACCTCTGTGGTAGATTCGTATATATATATATATATCTGTGTGTGTGTATATGGGTATAGATATGTAAAAAGATAGGCTGAAAGATGTTGAATAGGAAACACGGACATTTTTTATCTTTACAGAAATTATCTGTGTGTATGCAAACTTATATATATGCATAATATATTTGAAAACCATGCACAGGAATATAGTGTGCATGTAGTTTGTTCTCTGCCTTTTTCTTCCTCTTAATTTGTCATGGATCCCTTCTATGTTAGCCCCTACTCTTTTGTTTTAATGGCTGTTGTACCCATTTATTTAACCCAGTGATACAGACTCAATACTCAGTCAGGTAAGAGGCAGATTAGCTGAGTGACAGTGTTGTTCTTCCCTGGTGTGCTACAGGTCCCACCATGCTTGATTGTCCCCAGCAAGAAACCATTGATTTTAAAGAAGTGGGGGCCGGCCCGGTGGCTTAGTGGTTAAGTACACGCGCTCCGCTACTGGCGGCCCGGGTTCGGATCCCGGGCGTGCACCGACGCACCGCTTCTCCGGCCATGCTGAGGCCGCGTCCCACATACAGCAACTAGAAGGATGTGCAACTATGACATACAACTATCTACTGGGGCTTTGGGGGAAAAAAAGGAGGATTGGCAATAGATGTTAGTGCAGAGCTGGTCTTCCTCAGCAAAAAGAGAAGGATTAGCACAGATGTTAGCTCAGGGTTGATCTTCCTCACAAAAAAAGAAAAAAAATAAATAAATAAAGAAGCGGAATTTCTAGGTTGTCTCTAATATTGTATTTGTTGGACCACCTGGGAGTGGAGGCTCCCGTGTAGAATGTGGAACCCCAGTTATGTCTGAAGGGAACAGCCATATAGCTGGGTGTTACCATGTGCAAATGTTTGTCCAGAGTTGCCAAATCATCTGATCTTTTCTCCCTAAGGGACACTAGAAACTTAAATTTTCTATGTGAAATCTCCTAATTTTTAAATGTGGGGACCATTTTTTAAATGGTGGATAATCCAAATAAAACATATCTTGAGTCATCCTTCCATCCCTCTGATTGAACTTCACAAACACTAAAGGGCTCCAATTTTCTGCTACTGCAAGGAGCACTGGAATCAACACCCTTGAGCACAGTTCCTCGAGTCCTTGTGTGTGTGTGTGCATGTGCATCCTTAGGTACATTTCTGGCATCAGAATTGTATATGCATTTACAAAGTTGATAATGGTTAACAAATGGCTCTATAAAAATGGTACACTAATTGGTGCTCCCACCAATGGTATATGATCCACACACTCTTACCTACACTATGTTATGAAATTTCTCCTTTTTCCCGATTTGCTAGATGAAAGTAGTATCTCACTTTATTTGCATTCCTTAATTATAAATAACCTATATTTCATATTTAACCTATATTTTTCTATGTATTTGTTCATCTTTTGCATTTGTAAAACCTCTTTGCTTATATAGAAAACTTGTCTTCATTTATTTCAAATATTATTTTCCCCTCTGTTGTTACCTTTGGACTATTTCATTGACTCTTTGCTGAACTTTGGTAAAAATTTGATGTTTATCTGTTTTTTAATTTATGACTTCTGGGTTTTGTGTCATACTTAGGAAGATTTTCTTTACAACCAGATGATTTAAAAAAAAAAAAACCTTGTTTTTTCCTAGGACTTGCATGCTTACATTTTGTGATGTTTCAATCTTTTGAGTCATTGCTGGTTTTTAATTTTGTATGAAGTAGGAAAGTAGATTAGGTTTTTTCTAAAAGGTTTGCAGTTGTACCAACACATTAAATTGAAGGATCTTTCCATGACTAATTGGTAATATCACCTTTACCAAACAATTTCTAATACTAATTGAGTGCTTATTATATATCAGATAACTGCTGTCTGCCCTTCACTTGTACTAGTTAATTTAATCTCATTTTAATCCTCACAGTAATGCTAAGGGTAGGTTCTGGTGTATTGCCATTTTATAGATGAGAAAACTGGGACACAGAGAGGTTAAGTAAATAACCAACAGTCACACAGCTTGTAAGTGGCAGAGCTCTAGGATTTAAATTCTGAGTCTGTCTCCAAAGCATGTTAACCTCTAAGACTTACTGCTTCTCATATATATTTCCCATTTCAAATTGGACCAGCTTCTGGCCTCTATTCTGTTCCTTTAATCTGCCTTTTTATATCTAGGACCAAACTCTTTTAATTGCCATAGCTTTATAATTCATTTTAATATCTGAGAACTTTGTCTCCAAATTCTCACTAATCCTTTTTTTTAAGATTTTATTTATTTATTTATTTTCCCCCCAAAGCCCCAGTAGATAGTTGTATGTCATAGCTGCGCATCCTTCTAGTTGCTGTACGTGAGACATGGCCTCAGCATAGCGGGAGAAGCGGTGCGTCGGTGCGGGCCCGGGATCCGAACCCGGGCCGCCAGCAGCGGAGCGCGCGCACCCAACCGCTAAGCCACAGGGCCGGCCCATGTTCTCACTAATCTTGCACATTTATTTTTCCAGATGCATTTTATTTCGAGGGTATGCTCATTTTAAACCAGTGTTCTCTTAGAGAAGACTTTGTTCATTTATTCAATAACCTAAGATTCTAGCAATCAGAGCAGTGGAACTTTTTAAAGCCTGTGTTTACCTTTCTATAACTTCTACTGTTAATTTTGATGTCTATTCTTATTCTATATTAAGTCCCTAGATTGGGGCCCTTTGCCAAACAGCATTGTTACTTGGTAAAGTAAATGTTTTATTTTTTATACATTGATGTATGGGAGGTTTCATCACATTATGTTAAAATGGACGTTTTGAAAATCATTTTTGAAGTTAGTAGAGAGGACTCGGAGCCCCGGAGCTGGCACTGCCTGGGCGGGTACCACCTGGGCCAGCTGTGCGACTCTCCTGGAACCTGAGCCCGGGCTTCTTGTTCTCTTCCCACACTAGGTTTGAAAGCTGTAGCATAAAACAAAATCTGAAAGTAATCAGATTTGTTGAAAATAACTGCAGAGGAAAATTTTAAACTTGAATGTGTTGGGGGAGGTGTATGTATTAAGAGAGAGTGGATGTTTTTCATTTTTTTTTGATAGGATTAGAAAAATATTCAATTGTCTTATACATTCTTATTACATTGATTTCTTACATTCTTAGGAATCTGGTTCCTTGGTATTTTTCAAACCTTCCAGTTTTAAGAGCCACATTTGTTTATTTTATCATTTTCCACGATGTGTCTGATTCTAGGGGTGTGAACAGGGAGACCAAGGTGAGGTTTGTGCACACCTCTGTCCATGGCGTGGGCCACAACTTTGTGCAGTCGGCTTTTAGGACTTTTGACTTGGTTCCTCCCGAGGCTGTTCCCGAACAGAAAGATCCCGATCCAGAGTTCCCAACAGTGAAATACCCGAATCCCGAGGAGGGTAAAGGTGTCTTGGTAACCAAATATTTTTTATTATAAAATTTACCTTTTATATTCAAAACTATTACTGTGAAGTAAAACAAGTTTTTGTGTTTTCGTTGTGCTGAACAAAAAAATAATTTCATCATTGGAAATACTTGTATTTATTAGTTATCTATTTCTTAAAGGGAACTTTCAAATTAGATGTCTTAGCCTCAGGATGTGAGACCTGAAATCTAAATATGTTTTTAATTAAATTTGTTTTAAATTTAATTTACTACTGTGCTTTCTTAATGCCAAAAAGAACCAGTAGTAGAATGGAGGTTTACACATGATTTTTATTCCTTAATTGTTATTTTTCTGATATGAAGAAGTGTATTTAAATTATGCTTCCTTTAACATTTTTATAGGTTAGAGTAACAATTATATTCAGGGAGTCGGTTTATTTTGGTTTGTTTGTGAGGTTGATCACAGGGCGAGGCCTGGAAATACTAGTCCAGCCACACACGCGCTATCAGATGTGGGGCGAATCCCCGGGCGAGGTATGGCTCGTGTGTTGATGCTCACATTATCTGACCTCTGGTTTAGGAAGTAATACCTGATTAGCCAAGACCAGCTCCAGAAATAAAATTCAGCCTTAGTTTGGAGAAAGTCCTCTTTTAGTTCTTAAATAACTGAATGCTTTTAAAGACTGAACTATACTCAGTTCTTGATTGAAGTAATCCTTTCTTTTCTGACTCTTTTTCAGACTTTATCTTTTGCTTTGGCCGACAAAACCAAGGCCAAAATCATTTTAGCCAATGACCCAGATGCTGATAGACTTGCTGTGGCAGAGAAACAAGACAGGTACAATTAATTGTGATTATCTATCTAATAGAAAATATAAAAGGTGATATCTTGGGCAGTAAAATGTCCCTGGGGAGACTGGACCTATTTGGAAATATTTTCCATTTATTTTGCAAATGATCATCTCACTGAACCATAGAGCAAGGTGCTGATGTGGGGGCCACACGATTGGCAGACATAGTGCAGAGTAACACAGCCTAGTATGTATTTGGAATTGAAATTACTATTTGTTATCTTCCCTCATTCTATCATTGGTTTTATTACAATTAATAACTCAATGCCTAATAAGGGCAAAGTACTTTGCTTGGTGCTGGCTTTGCAGTTCAGTGTTTGCTGAAGGGTTTCGTAAGGAGCTGGACTTGCAAGGAAATGTTGGATTTAGGTTTAGCAGACCAGAGAGGAATACCTGTGGGGTGCTGATGCAGTGTTTGAGACAAGTTTGACCGCAGAGTTTATACAGACGAGTAGTAAGTAAATTAGAAGGGAAGTGGGGAGCTGAAAGGTAGGCAAGGTCCAGGCAGTTTTGGGGTGTCAAACAGTATATATGATGTTTTGGGGGCAATGGGGTGCTGCCAAAGGGTTAGCGTTTTAGATTATGATGAAACAGCTTCGATTCTATATGTGTTTAGAAAATTAAACTCAGGCAATACAGGCTGAAATGTGAGATGTACTTCTAGCCACTGGACTACAGAGAAGAACCTAAATCACACATCTGTTCTCTGGTGTCCTCACCATTTTAGCACCAAGCTCGATCTTAAAGAATGCCAAGTATTACCCTCTCAGAATCAGCAATACTAACCAGACCGAAAATTGAGATATGCAAACTGTTACACTTGCGGGGATCATGCCAGCATATTTCTGTTATGTTTCAGACTAAGATAAGACCATTATGTGTCATCACTGACATACTTATTTTATATGCTCTTCAAAGATAGGATGTTTGTGTAGACAAACTGGCTGAGACATGGTAGCTCTTAGATGTTTGTGAAGTGGCGGTCACATTTCTGGACCGTTATTTAAACAAGAATAAGAACAGTCTTGGGCCGGCCTAGCGGTTAAGTGTGCGTGCTCCGCTACTGGCGGCCCGGGTTCGGATCCCGGGCGCGCACCAACGCACCGCTTCTCTGGCCATGCTGAGGCCACGTCCCACATACAGCAACTAGAAAGATGTGCAACTATGACATAACTATCCACTGGGGCTTTGGGGAAAAATAAAAGGAGGAGGATTGGCAATAGATGTTAGCTCAGAGCCGGTCTTCCTCAGCAAAAAGAGGAGGATTAGCATGGATGTTAGCTCAGGGCTGATCTTGCTCACAAAAAAAAAAAAAAAAAAGAATAAGAACAGTCTTGCAGAAACTGCTGTGAGCCTTGTTTGGCTTAATCGTCCTGTCCCAGTGACTCCCAGTGTGTTGCTTAAGATCACTGCCACGCATGGGTTGTTTTTTTCTTTCAGTGGTGAATGGAGAGTGTTTTCAGGCAATGAGCTGGGGGCACTCTTGGGCTGGTGGCTCTTTACTTCTTGGAAAGAAAAGAACCAAGATCACAGCACCCTCAAAGACGTGTACATGTTGTCCAGCACGGTCTCCTCCAAAATCTTGCGGGCCATTGCCTTAAAGGAGGGTTTCCACTTTGAGGTAAGGTGTTTGCGGGACATGCTCTTTTTCCTTTCTTTTGCTGTGTAGAAAGTCTAAGGCATTTCTTTCTCTTTTGGATTATCTCTTTAGGAAACATTAACTGGCTTTAAGTGGATGGGAAACCGAGCCAAACAGCTAATAGACCAGGGGAAAAATGTCTTATTTGCATTTGAAGAAGCCATCGGTAAGAAGTGATAATGAGGATCATAGAATCAGTTAGTATATAGAATGCAAATAAATGGGAAAAGATTTGGGATTGGATTTGGGTCCAAAAGATTAACAGTGAAACAGGAGCGCAGTTTGCTTTGCTTCGGTGATGCTTAAAGAGCACTGAACTGTCCTACCCCAAAACTGGCATCTCACATTTTTTTCAAGTAAAAAGAATCTCTCACAAAGAACCAAGCCATTAATGTAAGAAAGTGAATCCTCTCCCCGGATGACTGAACACAACGGTGTTCTGCATGTGGCTGCTGGTAGCTTAGGCATCCACATATTTTGGGAGTTGTGATATTTCCTCAGCTGTGATGTTGACATCCAGGCCTAATATAGTCAACCCACCTCCGAAAGTGCTCCGCGGAGGTCTGTCCAGAGGAAAGCAGAAGGCACAGTTGTGGGCTTTCATCAAAGTGGACTGTCACCTGGAAGGACAACCTCAAGTCCAGCCAGGACGACTGAAAACACTTGTCTTAAGTTGTCAATATAAATGAGCAGAAAGGAGAGTTGGCTATTGAAACTTGAAATTCACATGTTTTGCCAGGGATATTTTAGCTATTAGTTTAGTAAAAGCTATTATACATTGTGCTTATTATGTAATATATATTCTTCTGACATCTGTATTTGCCCTGCAGCACTGACACATGCACATCATTTAACTGATTAATTGAATGAAGTATAATAGCTCAGCTTTTGTTGTCAAAATTGGAGTCTTGTCTTTCTATAGCTTTTTATTTAAAACATTTTTTTCTTATTTTTTTCATCAGATATTTATTGCATATCAATTACGTAGAGGCTCTGAAAGAGATGAATGAGACTGACCTTAGCTTACCGCCGTTTACATAGATCTAGTTAAGTAACCACACAAAAGATTATAGGCCAGGTGTCAAGATGAAAAATGAACTCACAAGAACTGTAGGGATTCAGAGAAGACAGAATAAACATTGACTAGAACAATTGGAAACAGTTTCATGCAAGCTGGAGGGATCGGGGCTGGACCTAGGGAATGAGCATGATTTTCAGGAGGGAGAACCTCCTTACAGGTTATTCAACAAATAATGCTTGAAGGCCTGCTGTGCACTAGGCACTGGGCTAGATTCTTAAATGTTACGGTGGGAAATGAGAAGCATCCACGTACTCATACCATACAACCTGGTATGCGATAGGCAGGCTGCATTTAGATATGTGCACACAATGTTGTAAAGGAACCCACTCCCAAGGGTGTATGTCTGACACGTGTTTTTGCAGGATATATGTGCTGCCCTTTTGTCCTGGACAAAGATGGCATCAGTGCCGCTGTCATAAGTGCAGAGTTGGCTAGCTTTCTAGCAACCAAGAATTTGTCTCTGTCTCAGCAGCTAAAGGCCATCTATGTTGAGTAAGTTTCTATTGACTCTATTTAATTGAAGTAATTTTTAATTAGTTTCAGGTGTACAACATAATGATTCAATATATGTATATATTGTGAAATGATCACCACAATAAGTCTAGTTAACATGCATCACCAACAGTGATATTGTTAAATGTTTTATGTTCTTGTGCATGAAATACTAATATGCTTTCTGATGCTCTTACTTTAGCTATGAATTCTGTTTTTTATGAAAAATAAATAAGAGATCACTTTTTCCTTTTGATACTTAATCACTTAGTAGTGTTACCATTCATGATTGCATTAATCCTTAACAAATGAGAACATTAGTCACAGAAATGGTTAACCGAAGAATGTGATTTTAAGTGTCCGAGGTCAAAAAAGGTTAAGTGTGTTCATGAAACATCTGTTTAGTCTTCATAGTCGTTACTCAACTCTGCCTTTGTACTGCAGAAGCAGCCAGAGACAGTACATAATGTAATGGGTGTGGTGTGGCTGTGTTCCAATAAATCTTCTACCTACAAATACAGGCTGACGGCCAGGCAGCAGTTTGGTGATCCCTGGGGTGGCTTGTTGTGCCTCTTTTTTATGCTAAATTACTCCTTTGAAGCTAGTCATGGTTATTTGTTTCATTTAGTTTAGAATATACTGGTTGATACATATTCTGTGTACACTATGTGGAATTATTTTTTCCTCATTTTGTATGTATTTGTTTTTTTATTGAGATATAATTTCCATATAACATTATATTAGTTCCAGGTGTACAACATAATGATTTGATATTTGTATATATTGCAGATTGATCACCACAGTAAGTCTAGTTAACATCCATCACCACACATAGTTGCAAATTTTTTTCTTGTGTTGAGAACTTTTAAGATCTACTCTCTTAGCATCTTTCAGATATGCAGTACAGTATTATTAACTATAGTCACCGTGCTGTATATTATATCCCCATGACTTAGTTATTTTATTATTTGTATTTCTTTTGATAGGTATGGGTACCATATCACCAAAGCTTCATATTTTATCTGCCATGATCCAGACACCATTAAAAAATTGTTTGAAAACCTTAGAAACTACGATGGGAAGAATAATTATCCAAAAACTTGTGGCAAATTTGCAATTTCTGGCATTAGGGACCTTACCACTGGCTATGATGATAGCCAGCCTGATAAAAAAGCTGTAAGTAATGTCTACTTTTGTCAAACTCTTCTCTATTTACCATCTATTATACTTTGAATAGCTTAACTTATTAATCATATAATTAATTGAAGCTGATTTTAGGCATTTAGGCATTATTGTAAATTGGCTCTAAAAAGACATAGAAAGTTGAAAATCATGGGCTAGAACTAAAAATGTTCTCAGTAGTCGTCTAAGCCAGTGCTGTCATTTAATGCATAAGGACATCAATACTCAGAAGCGCAGGATCTGCATGCAGTCACGTAGCTAGTTGGAGACGGTCAGGGTAGAATCGGGTTCTTTGGACTCCGGATCCAGCTTTTCCTCTCTCAGCAGTTCTCAAACTTGCATCAGAATCACCTGGCCACCTGGTTAAAACACCAAGTGCTGCAGCCCACCCCTGGTGTTTCTGAGGGAGTAGGTCTGGGGTGGGGGCCAAAAATTTGCCTTTCTGACAAGTTCCCAGCTGCTGCTGCTGCTGCTGGTCCACAGTTTGAGAACCACTGTTTGCTTTCCAGCTAGTTTTACCCTATTCTCTGAATGTATGGGAGCTGTTAGCTGTAGAGCATGAGTTTGCTTTCTTCACACCATGTGGGTTCACCACTGGAGTCAAAAGAAGGCTCCGATATGGCAGAAGAGTATTGTTACCTATGGCAGGGGGTAGAGGAAGGAGAGTAAGAATCTCAATGTTAGACATTTTCTTGGATATGTACCTTTTTATATGTTTTTATTTAAATCTACTTATAATATGTTTTTAAAAGACAAATTGTATTAAAAGAATTATGCTGAACCATGGCAGTTCTGATCCCTAGCATCTCATGACCATGTGCCAAGACAACCACCTTCCCTCTCAGTTGTCTCTCCTGGTACTTACCACCAGTTTTCTAAATAATGTACTCATGGTGATGTTTTGACTTATCGGTGTTAGGCTTTATCAATTTGCTATTATGGAGATAAGGATTTAGTTCTTACATGTCCCACATTCACTATTCCCCCTTCTCTCCTGGCCTCACAGTGCATTTATACACAACTTTTAGTGATATCGGATTCCGTGCTTGTATTATTATGACTAGTAGCTATTGTTTCCTGCTTAGCTAAGTTGTGTACTTTGATTGTCTCCCTAATTTGTATAAAGAATTATTTTCCTATAATTGTTACTTTGTTCTTTCTTTTGCTTGGATTTCTATGTAACTACCAGCAGTTCTTCCCACATCCTTCAAATACCTCTCAGTAGAGTTTTCCACATGGTCCAATGATTTGGCTATTCTATCAGTTCCACTTTGTTTCCAGTGGCCTCCCTCCTGGTCTGGCTCCTCTCTGGCTTGGGTGCACAGCTGTTATCCCAGGAATGCCCTTCACCACTCACCAGAGTTGAGTCCCTTGCTCCTAGACCCCATGACTTCCTCTTCTTATGTTTGTTTTCCTAAATCACACCCTCTAGTAGCTTCCTAAGAAAAGTGGCAGGTAAATTTTTGGAGGCATTTAGGTCTGAAAATGTCTTCTTCTACCCTCACACTTTATTGACTCACAGTTTTAAAAGTGTTGCTCCATTATTGTTTAGCTTCCAGAGTTGCTGTTGAGCATCTAGTCATTCATTCATTCAGAAGCTAGTTGAGGCCTACTGTGTGCTGCATACAGGGATGTTGATGCCATACTCACTCAGTCCTTTCCTTGCAACTTGTTTTTTTCTCTATGGGAAGGTGTTAGGAACTTTCCGCTAAACTTTGGGTTCTATAATTTCGGTGATGTACCTTTAGTATGGGTCTCTTTTCATTCCTGTTTGTTGACACTTGGTGGGTCTTTGTTGGTCTGTGGAGTCAATTCTTTCAGTTCTGAGAAATTTTCTTGATTTTTGTATCAAAGGAGGGGGCTGGATGGTTATTTTTCAAATAACGTCTTCACCTGAATTTTCTGTGCTCTCCCTTTCTTGACGAGTTCTTAGTTAGATGTCGGCTTTCTAGGACCGATGCTCTGCTTTCCATGTTTCTTTCTTTCCTATTGTCTGTCTGTATCTTCTTGTCCTACTTTTGGGGAGATTTCCTCAACACTAATTTTCAGTGCTTCTGTTGACTATTTATTTCAGTTCTTATTCTCCAATTTATTAAAAATAACATCCTATTCTTGTTTCATGTAGATGAAATCTTAGTTCTCTTAAGGATATTAATTATAGCTTTTTAAAAATATAGATCTCGAGCTGGCCCCGTGGCTTAGCGGTTAAGTGCACGCGCTCTGCTACTGGCGGCCCGGGTTCGGATCCCGGGCGCGCACCAACGCACCGCTTCTCTGGCCATGCTGAGGCCGCATCCCACATACAGCAACTAGAAGGATGTGCAACTATGACATACAACTATCTACTGGGGCTTTGCGGAGAAAAAGGAGGAGGATTGGCAATAGATGTTAGCTCAGAGCCGGTCTTCCTCAGCAAAAAGAGGAGGATTAGCATGGATGTTAGCTCAGGGCTGATCTTCCTCACAAAAAAAATAAAAAAATTAAAAATATATATATATAGATCTTTTTTCCTCTGTTTTGTCTTTATTTCTTCCAAGTTTTTTGTTTCTTTCGGAATTTGTCTTTTATCTGATGTCTTTTCCCCAAAGTCTGGCCGTCCTTAATTGTCCTTTGGGCACTAAAAAGCTGATTGGAAGCTCTGTGTACGTGCACAAGCCTTGTCAACTGACATCCTTCACTCCAGGGAGACCGGGTAGCAAATTAACGTTTATGTATAGGGGCCTCCATCTGGGAAGCCTAACTCCCACCCTGATCTCCCACCTGAGGGCTGTAAGTTGAGGTGCTGAGGCCCTGGAACAGTGGAGAGGTGTGAGAGGCATGAGAGGAGGAGTGTCAGCATTCAGTGTGGACTTTGACTTACTCTCTGTTTTCATCATACCCAGCCCTGCAACGGTGCCTCCTGTCCCCAACTCCTGAGTCTTTCTGGTTCGGTTATACCAGAGGATAAAACCGTCTCCTGACGAGGTGGTTGCCTGGCTGCGTGGGCAGAGGGTGAGGATCTGGGAGGGCCTGATAGCTCCTTTCAGATACCACCTTTGTCTCGCCCCTGCCCTTTGCGGTACCTGGTGCCTCCAGGAGGGGAGCTTTGCCAGGGTTCTGCCGAGCACCTTGACCGGTTCTTGTCTGTCCCCTGCAGACGCTCAGCTGCCACTGTTCTGGTTCCATCAGATCAGTTTTGCTCCTCCGTCTGTTTTCTGGCTTCCAGGACTGGTTGGCAACCTCATCAACTGCTGTTTCCTCTTTTCTCCTTTGCCCTTGTGTTTTTTTGGGGTTTTTTTACATCTATCATTTTAGTGGAGTTTGGGGAGCAATCAGCTATGAATACATCTGCCAGAAGCTTTACCTAAAAAAAAAAAAAAAAAAGGTCTCTTAATAGACTTTCCTTTGCAAAGTGAAATAAGGTCTAGCGTTATTGTGGGGGTTTTTTGTAATGAATTATTAATCATTTAAATCAATTTCTTGTGAATTTTAATAAAACTTGAGTAGCTTTAATTAACAGAACTAAGGAGGTAAAAAGCTAATGTACAAAGTTACTTAATTTTTTACAAATTACCTTATTATTATCATTTAGTATGTCATTCATATGGAGTACATTTTCTGATTTCCTCAAAAATGTTCTTCTTTTCTAACGAATATATTTGGCATTTATTTTCTTGCGTATCCGGGGGGAAATAGGCCAGAACTGTTTATGTTACTATTTAACTTTATAACATGTGTAAATTAATTCCTAGGTCCTCCCTACTAGTAAAAGCAGTCAAATGATCACCTTTACCTTTGCTAATGGAGGCGTGGCCACCATGCGGACCAGTGGGACAGAGCCCAAAATCAAGTACTATTCAGAACTGTGCGCTCCCCCTGGAAACAGGTATGATGTGGATGGCAGCTGCTGTCATTTTTGTTCCCCAGACTTCCCAATTGGTTCTATTCAAATGCTAAGTAAAACATTTCATCTTCCCAACATGTAGTTTAATTAGGAAGGTTGTTTCAGAACCTGCAGCAATATTGTGACAGTAAGAGCTGATTGAAGGGCACAGGGACAAGAGTGCTTGCTTCCTACTTTATTACTTACTTCTTTCCTTACTTCCTTTGCATGGAAAAATTTGATTTCTGATTTCAGTAATAGTAATTAAGTTTCCTTTTTCTGGTACTTTTTATTTGAGGCTAGGACCAATGAGTTTTTCTCTTTTTCTCCATGTCTCTGATACAGTAAGTTAAAATCCATTGCACATGCATTCAGCGAATATCTCTGAGCACCTATTGTGCGTAAGTCTGTGCTGGGTTCTAGGAGGGAGAAAGAGCCCTATCAGAAAGAGTCCTTGGCGCCAAAGAACTGATGGTCTGGTAGCTTCCAGGTCATGCTTTTGTGACCGTGGTAAAGGGTTGAAGTTGGTCACTTTCCAACAACTGTAACATTTTAAAATTTAATAACCATGGTATGTGTAGTTAACACGTGTAAATGTGATATTGCATACCTATTTAACACTCAGTTAACTACCACTCCCTATTCAGAATACAGTTAAGAATCAGGAAATATTTCTTTAAAAGGTGGATTAAATCAACACAGTCCAATAGAAATAAAATGTGAGCCACATATGCAATTTGAAATTTTCTACTGGACACATTTTTAAATACAGTCGTGCACCGTATAACGATGTTTCAGTCAATGATGGACTGCATATGTGACGGTGGTCCCATAAGATTAGTACCATAGAGCCTAGGTGTGTAGTAGACTACACCATCTAGGTTTGTGTGAGTACACTCTATGATGTTTGCACAATGATGAAATCGCCTAATGATGCATTTCTCAGAACGTATCCCCATTGTTAAGCAACTTGTGACTGTAGTAAAAAGAAACAGGTAAAATTAATTTTAATAATATATTTTATTTAACGTAGTATATTAAAATATTATCATTACAACGTGTAATCCATATAAAAGTTGTTAATGAGATAGTTCACTTTTTTTTCCACACTAAGTCTTCAAAATCCATTTAGTATTTTATACTTTACATATCTCAATTTGAATGCTAAATTTTTTCAGAAAAACTTGATCTGTGTTTAGATTTCATAAAATTTACAGTTGAAAAAGCCGATTTTAATACCCAAGTTGCTCCAAAAGTACTTGTTTTCCAATAAATGAATCAACTGTCCGTTTTAAATTTGAATTTCAATTAATTAAACTTCAGTTAAATTAAAAATTCAGTTCCTCAGTTGCACTAGCCACATCAAGTGCTCCATAGCCACATGTGACTAGTGGCTACTGTAGTAGACAGCATAGGTCTAGGTAGTTGTTATAACACATACACACCAAAGCTTTGCTCATAGAAGGGTTTTTCTGGGCTTGTGAATGAAATTTTCACTATGTGGAAATAAAAGCCGAGGAAAATGTTTGAGCGTCTTCGGCAAGCCAAGAGCATATTAGATGTAGCAAATTACAGGGGTGGAGAAAGAATTGTTACAGGTAGACTTTCCTTAGGCAGGGAGAAGTGAGTTCTGGTAGCAAAGCAAGAAATATTAAAGCAAAACAAAATTGTAAAACATGGATACAAGGACTCATTATTATGTTCACCACTCTGCGGGTTTATCATAATAGCGTTCCACACTCAAATGGGCCTGAATCTTCTGAATAAGAGCGCCAGTCCAACAGACAAAGTCATGATTATGGCCCTCAAACATCATGATATTCAAACATATTGAAGAAGTCATGGTACTGGCTAATATATTTTGCCATGAATTCCCATTTAAAGCCTTTTTGTGCTTAAAGGGCAAAAATTCGATGATTAAGCAACGTGCACAAACACATAAAACAGCTCATTTTGTAAGCATTCTGTATTACCAACATTTTATTGTAATATTGTTCATGTATCAATGTTTCCACGTGTGTTAAATAATAAGCTATTTGTTACTATATTGAATATGGTTTTCCATCGATATTTTTTTGTAATTCTCATTCTCACTTAGTGTTTTCATATTTCTACAACTCATTCTTTTGAAAACAAGTGGACGTTAGTCCAATTTAAAGATGTTTTCTCTGTATATTTCTCTTTTATTTTTCATTCTCTTATCAAAATGTATCTAATATTTCAGAAAATTTTCCTTTATAATAACAATACTATTTAATGTTTAAGGATTTGCAGTATTTACGTTTTTCATGTGGCTTATTGAGTGGACTTAAATTCAAATATTAATTTATAAATTGCTAAAAATACTTTGAAAAATTGTCCTTTGATTATATTCATTGAAATTTTGCTTGCATTTATTAATTGGGACATTAGGTACTAGGTCAGGCAATGGAGATGCTGTCAGTGCTCAAGCAAGTCACCAGCATACCTAATGGACAATAGCAATAAAGCCATGGCTGAGATTTCCTTATTTTCTGATAACCTTAAATATTATTAATATATTTTATACCATGAATATCATTTATTTATAGAATTTCACAACTTATTAATCCTTTAGAATGGAAAATCCTTTTTAAGATAAGTCTTTCTTTTAAAAAATATTTTTGTGGGGGTAAATATCTTTAGTTTTGTCCAACTTTATATTTTGAAAAATTTCCAACCTACAGAAATGTTGAAATAATTGTGCAGTGAATACCCACATACCCGTCACTTAGACCAGGGGTTGGCAAACTTTCAGTAAAGAGCCAGATAGTAAATATTTTAGGATTTACAGACCATATGATCTCTGTTGAGCTACTCAGCTCTGTTGTTATAGCGTGAAAGTAGCCATATACATAAAGGAATGGGGGTGGCTGTGTTACAATAAAACTTTATTTATAAAAACAGGCCACAAACTATAGTTTGCCTCCCCCAACCTAGACTCAGCAATATCTTGTGATTTTTGCTCTCTCTGTTTCCATAAATTATTGTATATTTGGGATTGTTTTTTTTTTTCCCTGAGCCATTTGAAAGTAAGTCGTGGACCTCAATACACATCTCCTAAGAACAAAGATATCTTTTACTATCCCAAGGTTTAGATAATAATTAGACAGGGTTCTAACAGAGAAACAAACTGGTAGGAGATACATATATATATATATATATACAAAATTCACTGATGAGTTTTAATTTTAGGTATATTATAAAACAAAAATAATAATTATTAATGTGCCTTCCTTAGAGCTGTTATTTTTTTCAAAGCACATTTATGCGGAAGGAAAAAAAGACGTGTGTGATTCATATGTACTCATGAAGCATAATTACTTTATGTGTTACCAATGGGGATAAAAATAATTATAATGATAGCTACATTTATTGAGGTTTTGGGGCCAGGTTCTGTGCTAATTGCTTTATATAGTTTATCTCAATCTATACAACTCTCTTGAGAAGATAAAGTCTTTATCCCAATTTTACAAATGAGGAATCTGGGCCTTTGAGAGGCTATTTGCCCAAGGGCACACAGCTAATAAGTAGTAGAGCCAGAATTAATGTTTGTAATAAAATGAATTGGTTTAGTTGTACTGGCTAGCTATTACAATGTAAAAATGATCTTAACTAATTACAAGGATTGCAATTTTCATTAAAATAAAGTTTGCTTATATTAAAGATGGTCAAGTATGAAGTAATGAAAGTTGGAATTGAAGGATTTAGTTTTTTTAATTCAGCTTTTTTTGCTTTAAGTACTTATAGTAATTCACATTATGCTAGCAGCCTGACACAGAAGCTGCTGGAAGCCTAATTACAAGTTTGTTTTATCTATTATCAACCTTCTAATTGTTTGCACATAAATTAGTATTTTCCACATGCTTGAAACTTGATTTCCTTAGAGGGATCTAGCTCCTTAGGTTCTTGTTTATGCTTTAGTTGTGACCCTTTTGTTCCAGAGGTAGCATAAAAAAGATAAACCCAAGGGGTCTGAGTTTCACGTTTGTGACTAGCAGGCCCACTAGGAGGCTCCCCATCTCTGTCCATTCTAGGAGGGCCTTACAGATGAGGCCGCAGCTTAGCTTCCAATAGTTTGAGGGCAAACAAGATCAGGAACATTCGTATCCTGGGAGACCTGGGACTTAGCAGAGATGTCGTTTGTGAAAGTTGAGCAAGATTTAATGACAACTGGAGTGATGAAAGTTTTCTCTGCACTGTTAAGTACTAACATTGTAAATCTTTTAGGGATGTTAGGCCAAACACTGTGTTTCTTTAAAATTCTTAGGAAAAGTGCAAAGGGATAATTTTGTTTATAGTAGAAACTTTGGGAAAACTTTTGGGGAAAAGAATGGATATTGTCTCATGGGAGTTTTTGTCCAAGTTAACAGATGTGTTCCCACGCTTACGTCACTGGAGTTCTGTTTTGTCTGATTTAGCCCTCCTCTTAAGGTTAAATTTTAGTGTTACTTGATCAGTGGGGGGAGTTTTTAAAATACCCTTTGGAATAATCCACTGATTTGGAATTTTTTTCCCCTTGTTTTCCAGTGATCCTGAGCAGCTGAAGAAAGAACTAAATGAACTAGTCAGTGCTATTGAAGAATATTTTTTCCAGCCACAAAAGTATAACCTGCAGCCAAAGGCAGAGTAGACTATTCCAGCTTTGGGCATAATTACATTTACACACAATTGAGCGGAGCTTCATTTGTTAAGGAATATTTTTGAGGGCCAAATGATTTAAGCTATCGCTACAGGTATTTATACATTTTTTTAATAGACCTACGTGTTTTCCTCATTGTTCTATGTTTGATCTTTAAGGTGAATAAAGATAGCCAAACCTAATAAACCAACATTCCTATTGAAAGGTTAAGCCTGGGCATTATCTAAATTTAAAAATGAAGATTTTAAAAATAACTAACTTTCAAAAATATATTGTAATTCATATGCTTTAATTAGAATAAATAACACATATACGTCTTCTCTATAATTGTTTTTATGAATTATTGAAATAGCCAGAAAGCCTATACAAGTACTAAATTCTGGGCCGGCCCGGTGGCTTAGCGGCTAAGTGTGCACGTTCCACTACTGGCGGCCCGGGTTC